CGCTTGAATGCCACCGCTTGGCTGACCATTACTTTCATTTTTCTATCACACCTAGTTAAGAGAGACCAAAGAGTGAGTGCCCGGTTTCGGGTGTTAAACTTCGTAAAGCAACCTTCCAAGCACGGTAGAGCAGGCTTATTATGTTTTTTGCCAGATTTATGGCTAAAATCTGGTTATGATTTAGTAAGTCATAAAGGAACTCCAATTTGTTGCACATGGCGTATGAGTAACTTTTGATGCTCTTTACTATTTTAGAGCCGCACCGTTGAATTTTTGCTGCTTGTCAATTTATGTTTGTTACAAATTAATAAGTTGAATATGATTTGACACTTTTATAAAATAACTTTTGAAAGAGGAGAAATCATTCAAAAGCCATTACAGTTAATTGATGGTAATGGCAATACTTTGCTCTTTGTTTTGAAGACATTTTGCTACAAATCCGTAATAGTGAAAAATTTTCCAAAAAAAATCTAAAATTTAATATTATACCCAAAGCAAGAAAATTGGTATTTTTAGCTCAATCAGAAAGTAATATAAGAAACCCAACATGCCGGGCTGGTTTTTTTTATCGTGATATCAATAAAGACCGGCATAATTTCACAACATTCCACATTCGCCTGCTAACTTCTTGACTTACACACTTTTCACGAAAATATTAATCAAATTAAAACTTTCGCTTAATAAAATTAGTAAACTTTTGTTTGGAAAGCCATAATAAAGTTAAAAAGTTTTTTGACTGGAAGCACTGCGCTTAAACTGTTCACCTGCTCGTAGACGCAAGCACATTCAAGTGCAGTGCCTACATTTAGGCTTATAAGCATGTGCTCAAAACTCAAAACTTCGAACAGCGAACGCTTCAACACTAGCGAAGCAAATTTCGTGCCATTCGACACGCTACCTGAGAGCTGTACGAATAATTGCTGAAGTGAAAGCAGGAAATTCGATGAAAGCAACAAAGGAAAGTCAAAGTAACCAGCAAACAACAAGCGAACAGCTCTGATTATAAGTCTGCATTTGCATGTGCTACACATGGCACAAAATCATGAGAGCATGGCAGTAGGAGCTGGCGCGTGTGTGTGTGTATATGTGTATGTGCGAAGCCATCAATTGAGTGCCATATTCCATTGACAAGTTTTTATTCGATTGAACAGCAGTTGCGCTGTCAGGCAATCAGTCGTTTGATTGGCGATATTCGCTGCAAGAATATTAGACGCTTTAAATAGAACATTTTTTTTACAGTCTAAAGCAATTCAGAAATGCATTAAACTCGAAATGATATCCTACGTCACATTGAATTGATGAAATATCATTTGTCTGGTTTTGCACTTCAGTAAAGCCAAAATACAGTTTAATGCAAAATTCTTGGTTATTTAGAATATACAAAACTGTAGACATATGTCCAGCTGCAATACAAGTAGAAATTCAAATTGGTGAATCGAACGATTAAAGCAATTGATTGGAATTTTTTAAATGTTGATTCTGCGGATATGTATATTAATTATGAAAACAAATAATGCAACAGAATAGCCAGCCGTTAATACATTGTTTTTGTTTTCATTTATTAATCACACATTGCGTCCACTTTTCCAGCCGCTCGATCGCCCGCCGATCGATTTGCTTGCCAAAACAAATATATAACGCTCTTGTTGTTGTTGTTGTTTAGTGTATACCGCTGTTTGTTTGCTCAAAACAAGCCAAAGCAACAACACGCCTGTTTGTCCAACGAGACAATCAGTTAGCGTGCTACCGACAGCCGCGCGCCCCCCACTTCACCGAAGCATCCGTCAAGCCGCCTGCCTCAGCTGCCGCCGCGCGACTTTTATGGATTTCTAATTTTGTTTACAAATGTGTGTTGTTGTTTTTTTTTTGTAGTTATTTATTTTTATTCGAGCACGTCGCTGACGCTGACTCAACCGACATACACACACACGAGCGTGCACGCCGGCATCATATGCATGGCTGTGTGTGAGCGTAGGTCAAAATGTCTAGTCCGCACGCTTTTTACGTTTGTATTCGCACGCCAATTGGATGTTGGAGGTTTGCCGGTCTGACGCGCTTCGGTTCGTCTCGTTGTCGTGAATTCGAAACATCTTGTATAAACTTTGCTGAAATAGTGAAACAGTTTTTCACGCATGATTTATGGCTGGCAGAATTTTATTGACACATGTATTCAATTATTGATCCATCTTTTGTTGGCGCTGACGCTTATATATACCATATAGTTTAGCCACACGCGAATAGGGGCAGAAATTATTTATCTTCACTAACATGATTACATACATAAATTTGAAATTTATTACAAAAGTTACTATAACGGATTTAAATTGCCTTTCTTGTTTATTTAACACAGCGCTTTTCCCCGTTCATTCATTTGCATGCAATTCTTGTATGCAATGCGCGAAAACACACACACACAAACTTGAATCGCTTGAACAAATAACATAGCTTGAGTAAATAAGCGCAAAGCCGTGCAAGTCAAAGTAAATATCAAGCGAAATCCACATTTTTCACGTTTCTTTCGTTTTTCTATTATCCAATATTAAACAACAAAAAGTGTGCAGATAGTAAAATACATACATATATAATATATATGTGTATATAGTAATATTTCTAAGAAGACATGTGTCAGCTTATGTACACATGTACATGCAAAACAGCTTAAAGTATTCAAGAAATATTCGAGTGTTTCTAAGCATCGGTAGCGGTAATCTCAATGGATTCTGGCGTATTTTCCAGGGGCACTTTATTTATTGAAGCCATTATAACATTCTATAAATAAAGGACGATATTTTTGTGTATCTTAAATTAAAATTATTTATAAAAGCTATGCCTTTTAAATAAATCAATCTGTTAATTGTACTTTTGGGTGTTTTGACTGGTTGACTAAAACCATATTGAAGTAATCTAACGGAATTTTTTCGCTGAAGTTTTATCTCCACAAGAGCTAAAAAAAATACATTTAACACACCCTTAAAATATACTACTTCCAGATTTCGATTAAGATTGCTCACATTCAACTTAAATACACACACGCACTTACATAGGCATATCAGAGGCTCACTGTTCATCCTGAGCACTTGGCAGACTTAATTTATACAAGTATTGCTGTCTGACAACATACTAGACACACACACACCTGAAAAGGCAAACACTTTAAACATCGCCACCTTTAAATGCTTTTAAGGACTTGTGACGCACAGGAAAATGGATTAATAGAAATAAGTGTAGTAAGTGGGAAACCAATGCGAAAATACAAAAATTTGCCTACTGATTTCTCACTAACGCTCCACGGTAAAGGATTCTCAAATAAATTTTGCTAATAATTCTTTGGTAGCAAATGCAACTGCTTCAAGAATCACCTTAGACCTATATTTAGCAGTGGATATAATACAATTATTGTGATTATAAACCCGTGTTCCCTAATATTATTTATTTTTTTGTTCATATATAATGTTCATAATATATATGAAGGTATATGAGTTGATATGCGCGACAATGTAAGCTGATTAAGAAAATACTAATGTGCAAACACACATATGTCAAGTGTAAGGATGTTTGCTCAGAAATGTGTGTGAGAGCGTTTGCTGTATCCCTGTGGCACACCTATTACCATTTTTCCCCTTGCTTGGGAAAATTAAATATTCGAACGCATAGTTTCATTACTTAGGCGTCAAGTCAAGTTATGTGCGTATGACATGCGTAACCAGCGGTAAGGAGAAATATCACCCCCACTTATAACTGAGTTGCCACATAAAAAGTACTAAAGGAAAGCCGGTCTTGAAAATCGGGTATTATAAGACGGTTGATTGAGCATATTTAGCTGTACTATCTTTGATTTTATAGGAAGAAATGCTTAAAAAACGGTTGACCTTGAGCCAGCACCTGCGCAGACGTTGTGTTATGTGACATTTGCATTTTTATCGCTCCATAATTTTGTTGATTCTCTAATTGTAACTTCCACACAAATTATATCTGACACAATTACTGTTATGTCCGCGTTGTTGTTGCTGCCTGAGTTTTATGAGAATTCTACATTAATTTATTCCAACACTTTGCATTATGCTACTGCATAAAATATAATAGCATCGTAAGCGTTGCTCTATTGCATGGAGGTGGCTGATGTGCTCTAAGGCTGAGCAGCCACTCCTAACCAAGAACCTAGCGTACTCTAGGTTTTATTATACAATTTATTACAGTGCGATTTCGGTGTCGTATGCTTACATTTAGTTTATTATGTTTTTATGCAAAAGGATTTAACTGCGCCCCCTTCGAGCACTGGAATGTGCCTAACTTCCTTTGAAATCGAGAGCTGAAGTAGCATTTGCAGTCCACTTTTGCCATAAATCCGCTTCTTGAGCAAATTATGCTTTGAATGCGTTCTGTGTATACTTTACAATCAGTATTCGCTATTTTACACTCCCACCTTCATTTGCCAACCCTGTTTAATTTGAACAATGCGATTGTAAAGTGCTTAAAAGCTCGTGGAGGTGTCGAGTTTTTATTTAAGATGACTCAGTAAATTCGCTTGCAAGATTTTTGAAATACATGGAATCGAACACAAATCATTTTCACACAAAAGTATTGCTGAAAGCAATCTTGCAATCAATAGCATTGATATGTAAGTATGGGCACGCTTCATCGCTTTGGGAAGTATGTGTTTTATGTGAAATGAGATTTGCTCATTAAATCTTCGAACACACTTGTGTTGTGTTGTTTGAGTAAATTCAATAATTTTCAAATTTCAAAACGCTTTCACACCAACTTATAAATCAAATCTGCTTACTACATTCTCGATTAAATTTGCATTCAATATGCCACGCACGTGTTTTGAGCGAAAATATTTGCGCTGATCGTATTAAATAACGAAATTTGTGTGTTGAGTTGCGCTCCATTGATGAGATGTGTGTACTCACATTCTCTTTACCGGTGTAACCAGGTGGGTGAATATGTGCGGATGTTGTTAAAACCAAAAAATAAATAATAATTAAATCATAACTTACCTTTTGATAAAATGTTGAGATGTCAGAAGAGATCGGATCGTCGAAATCTGAAAACAGAAATCCAAAAAAAAAGTCAATTATTTTGTTTACAATTTTAATACCAGTTAGCATAACTTTATTATAACACAATTCGAAAAGAATTTTAATTTTAATGCCACTTTGATAATAACCAATGACTAAGCTATTCAAGTCTTACGTTCGCTCGCTTCCTCACCCGATACAAATACTTTAATGTGTATTTTACAGCTGGATGTGCGGATGATTGCACCCAAGTGTTATTAATGCTCCCTGCACATGGCACTGCCAACCGTGCCACCGCAATCAAGCCACACCATCGATGCAAGTAGAGTTGTTTATTTGAAACAAGGCTCTTCGGGCATGTGAGAAATTGGAGCGAAGAAACGAAACGACAAGAAACAAATTTGTTCTAAGTACACAAAACGTATTTCAGCTATCGTCATTTCTTTTGTAACGGCAGAACATAACACTTGCTTCTGAATTTTTTTTTAATTCTGAGTGGACATACTGAGGTAACACTTGCGTTTTAATTGCTTTTCTCCTCATTGTTCTGTAGCAAAGGTTCAAACAAGTAGCCGATTTCCTACGAGGCATGCCATGTGTGCATCTGCGGTATCAACCTATGCATTCGTTTACATCTGTGTTATTGCAATTTCCAATCTTGTGATTTTTGCACACCCGCAAACTAAGCTAAACAAATTTTACCGCAACTCGTAAATTTCTCAATCGAAGTTGTTGACTCAAAAATAATAAACTACCGCACTATTGGCACCACACAACGATTAATGTTCACATTCCTCTCCCACACACCCACACATTACAGCTTTATTATTTCATAATTTTGGGTTATATTTTCCTCAAATCTGCAGCTTTTCATAATTTGCCATAATTTCGGAAAACCACAAAAATTTGTCGAACTCCAGTAAAGTGAAATATCTACGATCCGAACACTCGCTCAGTTGACCTTATGACACTGTGAGGTTAATTTTTTGTTTCGTTGAGTTGAATGAAAACCAGTGAGTAAATTCAAAGGCAAATAAATTGAACAGGAAAATGGAAAGCAATGAATGCTGTTCGCGGTTTTCTGTTTGGCCCAAAGAATGTAAATAAAGTTTGCCATTGCTGCGCATCGCCCAACGACATCGACATGAGTAACAATTGGAAAATCGCCGAATTATGGATATATCAAAAGCAAATGAACTTTGATCACACACATACTGCACAAACACACGCACACGTTCATGGAAGTAAACATTGAGCAGGGCACGTTGCTCGCGTTCGACCACGCTCCAGGCACACGCTACCCGGCCGCTATATATGTACGAGTGTGTGTATGAATAAATCGAAGCATCAGTCGGAAGCGCCAACAAGCGATGCGTTAACTTTTTGTGTTCAAAATGCGCGGAAGCGTGCAACGTTCAACATATATATATGTATACAAAATGCACCATAATTCATTGGCATTAACATTATAAACACACGGGTCATACATACAACTTTAGTGCTATTTCAAATGGCTTTAATTATTTGATAATTTACGGCGCGCTTTGAAACCGGAAAAATAATGTAAATTAAATCTAAATTAATACGTCAACGGTACAATCCACACACATCCAACAGCAGCTAACGTAAATAGGGCTAATTCTGTTTAAAGCTGAATTGTTGTAAGAATTTATTTAAGACGCACATGTCAGCAAACGATCAAATGCCAAAGCGATGCATGTTACGTATACGCCATGGTCATACATATGCTTATTCATATAAGGCGCTTCGCCTTTGTTTTAACAGCGGTAAAGTGACAAAATTAGTTAACTCATTGCTAAAATATCAGTATTTATTTAATATATGCCTTATAAACTAAACTAAATTAATATTCCCTTAGTACGTCACACATATATTTTAAGCTTAAATATTTTTGGTAAACATAACATTAAAATTAAATTTTAAAAGTTTAAATTACTTTAAACATATATAGCATAAGCATTTGAATGACTCTGCCGCAATTCAATTATCTTATTCAAAACTTCACGAATTTTCTTATCTTCCACTTGACACAGTCGCACAATTTTCGTTGCCAAAAGATACAAGTTTCAAGAATGTAAGAAAACAGGCACATAAGGAAATGTAAATCCATTAACGGAAAAATAAGATAAATGTTAATTTGAAAACACTTGAAGTGTTAGGAAAAGAAACAGTATCGAAAATATCAGAAAATTTAGTAAAAACAAGAAAAAACGTTTTTTTCAGCTGTACCAAAGCTATAATACCCTTCACAAATACAAATGATTCCGCATAAAAACTTTGATCGGTCAGATTGTATGCCAGCTATATTGATATCTCGAAAACTGAGGTATTAGTTCGCATATATACAGATAGACAGACGGACATTGCTAAATCGACTCATCTCAAGCTCATCATGCTGATCATTTATGTATATACTTTATAGGATCTTTGACGTTTCCTTCTGGACACAACCAAACATCGTGGCTAACTTAATATACCCTATTCAGGGTATAAATATGGAAATCGAACGTTCTTTTTGCAGATGCCTTAATCTTATTTATACTTTTAAAGATAAGCGTACACAGCAGTTTATTCAGGCGTAAAGTTAAGCAAAGTTTAGAGCAAATCGATATCTTAAGATGGTTTCGGAATTATTCGGAATATGAATGCAATGCGAAATAAAAAACGAATCAAATTCGAATATTTGAAAGTGGTAATATGTATATTTTCAACTTTTTACTTATTTGCACAGTCTAGATTGATGTGCACAATATTGTTGATGCACAATGGTCATAAATGCAATTTGCATAATTGTTGCAAATTTACATTTTATTTATGCCTCTCACGCAAAACGTGTTGCATGCAACTGCAAATATTGCATTTACAGTTATAATCAACAATGCGTGAGCTCACATGTACGTATGGAGGATTTGCCCACATCTGTTGCGTTTCCCACTCGCTGACTGGAATCGCATAGACTGGCTGTTAGAATTATAACACAAGAAGGAGTCACATATCTTCTGTTAAAAACACCTTTCATATATTTTGGATCAAATTAATTTAGGTAGAAATTTCGTTCTCTACCTGAAACATTGTTATATAACCATTAGTATATACTTTAAGCTGTGAAATGTTATATAATATCATATTAGACATTTTTATATAAATACATATATATACATTAACATTTAAGTGCGCATAGCCTGCCAGATCTTTTAACTACTGCCCTTAAAAAAGAAAACGCAGCCTATCTTGGTTTCAACATGTGATCTCTTTGTGTGCTTGTAAAACGTAACGAATATTTTAGTTCCGCTCTGCATTGCATTGACTCATCAATTCAAAGTCTCTAGCTGAGCAAATTCGACGCAGCGGTATAAAGTGATTTTAATTGCCTCTCGATATCGATGTTTGTGTATTTGCTGCCTGGCACGCTTCCACTTACAACCACACATATATGTATGTATATATTTGATAGAAATTTCACACAAACACATTTTTTTATTTTCCAAGTAAGTGCCATTGCGCATGTTTACACGAGTGCATGTGTCCCCATAAGTACTTTTGATGGATTGAAATGCTCTCAATTTGCCTGCTTGTCCTTCGACTTTTGACAACACAAACTATTGTCTTTGCAACTTTTGTTTCGACATTTTTTGCTAAAGATGAAAAGCTTATTCTTTTTATAAGTGTTGTACTAGAGCTGTACGGTTAAGGGCGTGTTCTCTTAATGGTGGCGTAAAGTTAAGTAAATCACAATGCTGTATACTAGACCTAATTTTTTTGCGTTCTTTTCATCTTTTCTTCTCATTTTATAATTACATGTAGAAAATGTTTAGTCAAAAAAGGCATTTATGTCTACTTTAACTGATGAAATTTTGATGAGTTGAGTATGCAAGTGTTAATAATTGCTTTTATTATTTGAATAATATTTTTTAAAGGGTTAAATAGGTCAGCATATTCTGATTATTAATTTTTGTACCCTAAACAGGGTATATTAAGTTTGCCACGAAGTTTGTAACACGAAGAAGGAAACGTCGGAAAACCTATAACATACATACAGAAATTATCAGCATGATGAGCTTGAGATGAGTTGATTTAGCCATGCCCGTCTGTCTGTCCGTCCGTCTGTATATATGTAAACTAGTTCATCAGTTTTTAAGCTATCGATCTGAAATTTTACATCTGTCCTTTTTTCACTAAGAATCTGCTCATTTGTCGGAACGGCCGATATCGGACCGCTATAGCATGCCATACAAACTGAACGATCGGAATCAAGTGCTTGTATGGAAAACTTTTTTTATTCGACGAGGCATCTTCACGAAATTAGATTGGAATCAAGTTATTGTAAGAAACATTTGTATCTGTGAAGGGGATTATAGCTTCGGTGCAACCGAAGTTATCGTTTTTTCTTGTTTATATTTAGTTTAACACTTTTTATTAATTTATTGAAACTTTGAGAATATTTATGCATATCTGAATGTTAGAAAAAGATACACAAAAAGAAAATGGAATTTTTTACAAGGGTCAAAATATGTTCTTTGCGCTTAATCATGGACTCAAGCCGAACTTTTTAGTATTTTTTGCATTTTTTGTGGGCCACTCATTAAGAGGAATTCGTACGTATTTAAAGCTGTAATCCTATTTGTGATACATACATGTTAAGCTTATTAGGTCAACATACATGTTCTACACTCGATAGAATTAGCAGTTGGAATATTTGAGAATGAGAATAATAACTCAGAAGCCTGCATAGTTTATATACATTCCAATTCCCCTATAGGTATATGTATGTGTGTGTGCCTGTGCGGAAGGATATTCGATGACACAAGCTGTACGAACGTTGCTACGCTTGTGGTTTTACGTATGAGTGTACGAATAACGGTATGAAATATTACATTTCTGAATGAAATGTGCAAAATATACAGAACATTGCACAACAACACAACATAGCGGAGAAATTTAAGTAGCCAGCCATTCATTTATTCGCAGCTGCTCATTCATTTGTACAAATCTTCCCGACACATGC